ACGGCACTGTCACCGGCCGTGCACCATGGCGATGGTCGGTGGGTGCCACCGGCCATGCACCGTTTTCTTCACAAAGTCCGAACGCACCCAGCTAGCTGCATAATGCCCACGGCCCGCCGCGCGCAGGGCCAGGTCGTATGGGTGACTGAATGGCCGGCAACCTGGTAGCACAACCTACATGTATGTAGCCTCGGCACACGTACACGTGGGTCGTGCGTGAAACTTTTATTTCAAAGCTCTTATTTTTGTTAGGGTAGAAATCACGATTTTCCTGTGCAGTTTGTGCCTTGCGATTCAGCGCGTCGTGCGTGCTCATGGTACATTGCGCGGTGATCGCCATCTTTATTTTCGGGTCGCGTGTTGTCGACGCGCTGTCATCATCATTTTACCCCCAAATTTCCCACAAAAAATTCAAAACCCTGTCCTCTATCTATGACATACCTGTTTATTGAGAATGTCGCCAACTAATTTGGTAGGTCCAAATTTTAAAGTGGATTTTGTTCCCTTATTGGAACTGGGCCCTACACTACACGATCGCCAAACATGCAATACAAGAAAATAGACTGGCATCTGAAACAACCAGTCCAACAACTCGGCACAATTGCAGAATACCCCGCCACTCGATCTATCCACCTCGTAGCCGGCTACGGAGTCATGGTTGATTGCCCTCAATAAACCTTCTCAGCGCTACATGTATGTATTTGTCATGCTCCACTGCACTCCCACTCCGTATCCACGTAGCCGGCAACATGGGAGTTGGTTTGGACTTTTTTCAGCAACTCCCATTACTTTTGTGTTGCTTCGTTCTCAAGCATATAAGGACTCCGTGTAGCCGGCAACAGGGTAGTTGGTTTGGACTTTTTCCAACCTCGTAGCCAGAGAATTTAAGGGTGTATTTCCGAGTGGCGGGGTATTCTACAATTCCTCCAACAACTGTTCAGTACTGCATCAATCAACTGTCAGCTGACTGTGCCAAAAGAAATATCAAGGATGTCGGGTACTAGGTCACTATTTCTACACATTTCTCCATAGTCAGGCACCCGTCCTGGCTAATGACTAGTCCGAGTAACTTGAACCCAACTTATCGCCTTTTTAACATTCGGACATGGTATGGCAATAGTAGGGTCCAAGCTAATCCGTATATGCTGAGCAACACAATTTTGTCCTTGACCTAGCCCAGGTTGGACTCTGTTGGAAATGCACTTGTGTTTCCAAACGTGATCCAGTCTTCTCATTATCATAATCCATACATCACGCTCGGTTGGCCTGATCTTCTTTTGCATCGTTTGAGCACTTAAGGTCCCAGTCTGGTAGGGGCCTACAGCAAGTTCAATTGGTCTTTCGGTAAGGTTTGTAAAAAAACTTACAGTTCTGGAAGTAGTTGGTAAGTAATTGGTTGATGGATTTGAAAAAGGGTAGGAGTGCGTTCGATTACAGTAAACTCCGGCTAAACCGACATCGTATAAACCGTCATATCGCTCAAATCGGCCGTCTGACGAAAGTCCCGATTGTCTCTAATGCATTTCCATTGACATTTTCATTTCTAAGCCGGCCTTTGTAAGCAGCCATTTCGCCTATGCCGGCGTGTTACTTTCAGTCCCATTTCCTCAAAACCACACAAATTCCTCTGTATAAGTCGGCATCGTGCTCTGCGGTTTGCAAGAAGTGTCAAGTGAAAAGTCCCACACACTGCTAACTGATATCTGTTTATCAATGGCACGGCCCGTGATTGATGCATTGGCCAGCACGTGTACACTAATCTCACGTGTACACTGTTTCATACACAGTCTGTACATTGTGTGCATCGTTCCCTTACAGGAAGTACATGTAAATGTCCATTCTGTAAAAGAAAATGGCATCCAAAACCTGTTCAAAGAAGCGGAAAATGGGTCCTAGATTAATGGTTTTCAATTTAACGGATGTAGAATCTTTCCATTTATAACAGGAATTTACCAATGTGAAACTAGATTTCCCATTTTTTCAACTTTGATGCACAAAAGAAATTAAGCTTTCTCATTCATTTTAGAAATTGTGGATCAAGCATTATACCAAGGCATTAAACAAAAAATGAAGGGAGCATTTTTTTATTTTATGGCTATTGACATGTATTCTCTTCCCATTCACTACGTAAATTTGAAATGTTTGTGAACGTGAAGCTAAATTTACTGGTGCTGTCAAACTTTGCCTCACACGAAACCCAACACGAAACAAAGTTTTCTGTGTAATGTCAGAAGTTGTTGATCAATTAAGCATGCTAACAAATATGCCAGGGCATTAAATGAAAATGAAAAGTGTAGGAAAATTGTAACGTGTAGGAAAATTGTAAGATTTTTTTATTTACAGCTTTCTTCTTTTGTAATACAATGTACTCTGCATTTTATTTGTGACAAAATACATGGACATAGCCCATCACAGCCACGTGCGCGATCAAAAAGGGATTTTCCCAATAGCACATCAATACCAGTACCCCCTCTCGACTGCATGCATGCGCTCTGTTCATTTTGGGGGTCTCCTTATTGTACCAGTACCATGCACACATTTAATTCGTGACTGTACACGAACGTACGTGCACAGTATGCAAGCGATCTGTATATCATACCACTGTTGACGCTAGCCGGCCGAGCTGTCCTTGCTTCGTACGTACGTACGTGTACATGCATGACTTTCTGTGATCAAAACCACAGCCTGTTTGTGATGATAAACATTGAGGATATATTTCAGACATGGTCTGGCGATACTCCATGTCCGAATGTTAAAAAGGCGATAAGTTGGGTCCAAGTTACTCGGACTACATCCGAATCAACTGTCTAGAGCTCGGTCTATAGGTCCACACCCATTGAAAATATGCGGGGACGCCCGGACAATAGCCGTATAGACGTAGCTCTGGAAGCCCGTTTTAGACACAGCCTGAGGCGCCCGCCGGACGTCACGTTGGCAGCCATGTTTATTGCAGGTAATTCGGACGCTGTCGCGCCTGCACGAGTAAGCACGGGGGAAGTAATTGAACGCACTCTTGATATGCGGTCCCGGTCCCATGCGGGAAAAAATGTTGCAACCTGATGCCAATTCACTTCAGCAGATGTGTATAGCCCTACTGAGTGGAGCGTTGAACTGTGGTACCCTCCGTACTAACGCTCCAACGATTTGGCATGTTTGGCATACTTTGGTGACATGTACACGGTATGCATGCCCTCGTGAGGACAAAAGGCCACCCAGAAAACTGGTAAAGAGAATACAATATTACAAATGAGAAAGACAGTAACCCTGGATAGATCCACACATTCATGACATTCCATAAACATATGAAACCCCTTAAATTGTTCCAAACAACTGGAAATGTTGAAAAAAGGACAAAATATTCTGAACTTACCGCTCACAATTAAATGTGTCTGCCGAGTTGTGCAGTCCATTTCACTGACATGACTGAGTGATATATATCGATCATCTGTTTCAAGTACTAAAATGCGCCACGCGCCAAAAACCCACAATGTCTGAGACAGCGCGGGCACATATGACTACATGGGCACATATGACTACATGCAACAGTCATTGATTAAGCACGACTTTTTCCTTCTTCAATAGTGATGTCACACATGCGCTCGATGATCGATACATCACTCAGTCATGTCAGTGAAATTAAATGGACTGCACAACTCGGCAGACACATTTAATTATGAGCGGTAAGATACCACACAAGTGAAATCTTTAGAAAAGGGATAAAAGGACAACAATGCTTCTACCCCTGAACTCCCATCCGCTGGGCTGCTCAGTTTCCAGATGATAATTTGAGTTACAAATGTTGTTTGGTATTGAAACTTCAGTAGGGGGTTGCCCTTGGGAGTAGGCAAGTTGGGATTGGTTTGTGAGTCAAAAAGGTCAAAGGTCAAGGTAACAGTGGCGAGTTAAACGTTAATGGTTTCAGGATGATAACTTGAGTTTGGAATGTGATTTGGATTTCTAACTTCAGAAGGGGGTTGCCCTTGGGTACAGGCAAGTTGGAATTGGTTTTGGGGTAAAAAAAAGTCAAAGGTCAAGGTTACAGTGGTGAGTTAATGGTTAATGGTTTCTGGATGATAAATTGAGTTAGAAATGTGATTTGGTTTTCTTACTTCAGAAGGGGGTTGCCCTTGGGTACAGGCAGCGGTGTTTTTATTTGCAGCACACATCGTCAATGGTCATGATTATTCAGCTAGTTTGATGTTTATTTATAAGAAAATATCAATGACGTCACACCATTGCTATCACTCAGTCATGCATGTACATTAAAGCATTTCACAGAACGGCTTTATTCCAGCTGCCAAAGTGGCCTAGTGGATAGTGGAATGAACTGTGGATCACAAGATCTGTGGTTTGAACCCACATCCATTTTCATCAAATATTTTTGTTGGTTGGGATAAGTTTAATTGAAGGGAAAACACTAAGAGAACACTAAGAGAACACTAAGTGTCTTCCATCCACACAGCGTGATAAATATTCATGTTAGGGTGCATGATGTGATTGGTTAAAATACGATGTATGCTCCAAAAAACCCTAGAAATACGCGTACAGGTAATTTAGGATTGATTTTTAGGTCCAAAGGTCCAAGGTCAAGATCACAGTGGTGAGTTAAAGGTTAATGGTTTTCGGATGATGACTTGAGTTAGAAATGAGATTCGGGTTTCTAACTCAGTAGGGGGTTGCCCTTGGGAACATGCAAGTCGGGATTGGTTTTGGGGTCAAAAAGGTCCAAGGTCACGGTCATCGTGGTGAGTAAAATGTAAATGGTTTCCGGATGATAACTTGAGTAAGAAATGAATTTTGGCTTTGTAACTTCAGTGGGGGGGGGGGGGGGGGGTGGACTTGGGGCCAGACAAGTTTAGAGTGGTGTGGAGGTGAAAAGGTCAAAGGTCACAGTGGTGAGTTAAAGGTTAATGGTTTCCGGATGATAAGTAAACTCCGACTGAGGGGTTTCAACAGCAACGCTTTTATCTCATGCCTTGAATTTTTTTGTTATGTTTTAGGCTAATTCGTGCTGCCTTCAAAACATCATGGCAGGACTGAAGTTGAGTGTGATGCTTGTGTTGGTTCTTCTCCTTCCCTGCTGTACTTCAGGCAAAAATGGCAAGAGGCTCACTGCCGCCGACAAGAGCCAGGAAGTGGCAAAGCACGCCATCAAGATCCACCAGGGTAAGGAGCCTAGCATCAGGGGCATTGCTGGGGAGGCTGGCAACCAGACATCTAGGGAAGTAATAACCCTAGATAGCTATCTGAGCAATTCGTGCCAGGTTCTAGCCAACCTAAAGCAGACCAAGAAGCTTGTCATTCAGAAGCTTGACCGAACCATTGTAGATGTACACCTGGACCAGAATGTGGAAAAGGCAGAGAAGATGTTCCGCATCCACATGTTCGAGATTTTCAAACGAGAGTTGAATGAGAGTGAGGACGCCATACTGATGTCCATCAATGGACTGAAGAGGGCACTGCAGGTCTGTATATGCTTTGATATTTTGTTTGTTTGTTTTGGTTTGTATTGCATTCCTCTATGCCATGTGTCATTTTCTCACTCCATGCCATCACACATGTTTTGCCAAAATGCACTTAAGGAAAACAAGATGAGATTTGAAGGTTTGCATGGTGGAAAGATACTAAGACAAGATAGGTTTGCGGTAGCACTATGTGAATAAATCTCTTTTGTGACATACTCACAAGTGTGAATGAATCTCTTTTGTGAGTACATGTGTGGTTCTGAAAAGAACCACACATACTCACAAAAGAGATTCATTCACATGGTGCTACTGCAAACTTATCTGTCTTAAGGAAAACAAGTGCTCAAATCAAGGGTAAGAGGTAAAATCTCTGTATAGCACACATCATTTTAAAGGTACATATTTTAAAGGTACATGTATCTGGAGAACTTAGTCCTGGGGTTTTGTTCTTGCATGTAATTTGCCTGACTGCATATATGGGACAAATTAAACAAACTCACAAAAAAAAGGCGTCCCTTTTTATCCCCTGGGTTGTAATCCAAAAGGGGGATATTGCAATAGCATATTCCTTCTGTATGTCTGAATGTGTGTGTGTGTGTGTCTATTATGTTTTCGTTAGGTTAACTCTTATCAGCACGATAACTTGAGAAATACTTTACTTAAGAACTTCAGATTTGGTTTGTGGGTTGCTCTTGGTAGTCTCAAAAAAGCCTATTGTTTTTGGGGCCAACAGGTCAAAGGTCAAGGTCACTATTGCTAAAACAATAGAAATATTCCATTTTGGTTAGGTACGGTACATTGACAAGTGTCCGTACTAACTGACTGTATAAAAACTGCCGGTATGCCAGGGGATTGCGCAAGTTTCACTTGCAGTGTTTTTAATTCTATGGTTCTCAATTTTTTTGGCCTTGAAGGAGGGTCCGTCGGTCGGACGGACGGACGGTCGGTCAAAAAACAATCTGGGTTAGAAAAAGTACATGTTGAATGCACAAAAGGCTGAATAAAATGCCGCAAACTGTTGAATGACTGTGCACAACTGGTAACGTGTTTGACCAATTTTGAGAGGTGAATGGATTTTAGATTTTATAACCAACACATTTTGACTTAAAAAAAGTTGTTTATTACTTTACTTGTAACTTCACTTACCGGTACTCAACGACAAATGAAGTGCTGTAAGGACTTGAGCAAGTCGAATACACATTGCCCCCGATGCAGCATTTAGTCTGGTTCCCAGACCGAAAGATCCTGACTATTTCTGATGAATCTTAGGTCAGGTAATGGCTACAATATAAAGGCCTACAACGGCATGTTACCAAAACTGGAGGAATACCTCCTGTTTCCGAAAATGTCTGAAGTTTGCAGAATGCAGTTTGTTTTAGGCAGGCTGGGTTTTTTGTTTTGTTGCTTACATGTACATTGTATTTAAATATTATGCAATACCGGTACACACATTATCATTTTAGAAATGGCTTTATTGAATTCGTTGACCCTAAAAACACGGAATTAGACACCTTTTTGGATATGATTGGACAAATTCCTACGTAAAAAATAGATAAATGGTATAACTTCATCTGTTGAAATGACTTTAACCCTCCTACGCTGAACGCGCACACCAGCATGCATTTGCACACAAATACGCATCATGAACAAGAATGATCCTAAATGTTGAATAGTATATTTCCCATTCCCCATGGGCGAATGGGACACAGAATGATTCCAGCCAAGTACAAACCACACATAAATGCTGTGCATGGAACCGCATTTGGACCAGGGCATCATTCACGCACCTCAGCGGTTCATTAAACAAAATTTTCACGTACTTTTCTACGATAATAGGATGTGTTTGTGTCAAATTGTTGTGTCTGATCCACCAGTTGCGTTTACACTCAAACATTGCGGGATCAGATATATCCGGATCTGATCTTTCGCATATAAAGGGGGATCGAGAAAGGTGGATCATGTCCGGATCAACCCTGATCCACCTTGTGTTTACACATGCTGTTAATCCCCCTTCGATCGTCATAGGATTAGATCCCTCTTGTTAAACGGAGAGCTGGATAGGGTTTAATCAAAATTTTCGGGAATAAATCCCCAGATGGTCTCATAGCATAGTATCCTCAACCCTGATCACAGAATGGCCAGTCATAAGTTTCTCTAGATCAGACTAAGGCTCATTGGTGCCGTACCAAATAGGGCCAATTTTATATTTAATCAGAATTCTGAGAATGAGAACGAAACCAGTATCATTTAATAGCTTGGCACTTTTAGGTAATGGCGATATAACTTAAGAGCGATTTTAGATCAGACTAAACAACTTAAAGCTGTCGTCAGGTTGACCTTGCAACGACACAGATCAGTCGGCGACTGACTTTTCAAGATCAAGCTGTGTCTGAGGTATGACCATCAGTTTTTTGCGACCTGAGTGTAACTGCGGCGATATTAAGACAATTGGAATTAATCAGTGCTAAAACAAATCAACAGTTGCAAGAGTAGAAACATTTCAACTTCTACGACGACGTCTGTTTTCATTAAGCAAATCAGCACACTACACTGGCGCTCCGCCTTCTGCACAACATCACGCAGTACGCACCATGCGTGTGTTAATCACCATATAAGGATATTATTTACTACTTCTCGCGAGAGGATATTCCATACCATAGCTAGAGGGGTGTTAAAAAAAAAGAAGGTAAAACTGTTCAACAAAATTGTTGGAAATGTATAATTTTTTACTTGTGTCGACTTGTTGACTCAAAGGTATTTGTGAATGGGAGACCATATCAGGGAATGCACGCTGATAATGGCTTGAGCCGAACCGGCCAAGCATGTATTTATTCCCTTATTGTTATAAGAAGTCCCATAACTGTCTATGCTGTGGAATCGCGGTGGATCATCGTGGGTGACATGAGCATGGTGTTGCGATTATTTTGCATCAGGATGCACCTTGTTTCAAGAGAATCACACATTCTACTGCGCTCTACATGTAGGGACCCGATCGACTCCTCCCCACACAAAACTGTTGCACCCCTATTTTTATTTTTGGAATAGTCCTACTAGCTAGTACTTGTGCCTGCATAACATGTGGCCTGCATGTGGTCATTCTTGAATAAGACCACACTGAGAGAACATCATATTCATCTCTCCCTGTTGCAGGTATGTTGGAGATTATTCTTTTAATTTTGATACATTTTAGTTGACAATACTTTGCACTTGTATATATTTTCTCTGTGTTAAATGCACTTTAGCTGAACTAGATAACAGAATTAGCCATTGGATAAGGTTTTGATCTAGGAAGGTACTGTATCTTTCAGATGGTGTTTAACTGAATAAGGATCATGGCTAAGTACAGTAAACTCCGGCTAAGAAGGCACTCTTGGGACCAGAAAATTTGTGACGGCTTACGCGAATGTCGGCTTCTGCTGCAAGTCGTCATTTTGCTGACTTACACAAATACACAAATTGAATCACGGAGTGAAAAAAATAGATTGAATTAATGGCCTATGCGCATCTGTATCATGCAAACAAGATTCATGGCTAAAATTCAAAGGCTTTGATTTATACATCCATGGTTGATTCCAGCAAATATATCCTCAATGTTTATCATCACAAACAGGCTGTGGTATTGATCACAGAAAGTCATGCATGTACATGTACGTACGTACGAAGCAAGGACAGCGCAGCCGGCTAGCGTTAACAGTGGTACGATATATCGCTTGCATACTGTACGTCCATGTACATGTAGTGTACATTGTGCACGTACGCACATGTACGTGTACAGTCACGAATTAAATGTGTGCATGGTACTGGTACAATAAGAACAGAACGCATGCGTGCAGTCGAGAGGGGGTACTGGTATTGATGTGCTATCAGGAAAACCCCTTTTTGATGCATGGGCCGATGCATCAATCACAGGCCGTGCCATTGATAAACAGATGTCAGTTAGCAGTGTGTGGGACGATGCCGACTTATACAGAGGAATTTGTGTGGTTTTGAGGAAACGGGACTGTAAGTAACACGCCGATATAGGCGAAATGGCGGCTTACAAAGGCCGGCTTAGAAATGAAAATGTTAATAGAAATGCATTAGAGACAATCAGGAGTTTCGTCGGACGGCCGATTTAAGCGATATGACGGTTTATACGATGTCGGTTTAGCCGGAGTTTACTGTACAAGTTGAGAACAGAAGTAACAGTCATTTATCAGTTCTATGTACGTCTGTTATATGTTAAACTATTATTGAATAATGTTATTTCTATTGTGTATCATTGTAAAATGATTGATTCTTGAATAACACCACACTCCCTGTTGCCGGTGTAACATTTGGCGATCTTGCTAGGACGGGTTGTAATTGGTAAGTCTCTTCTAGAGGAGCCAGTTACACACCCATGCCTGCCCGAACACAGACTTACATGTACCCATGGCGACGTAGCTGGAAGCATTCCATAAGGAAGTTAACAGTGCCCTCTACCTTTTGACAACAGCACAACTCGAGGAGGTTGTGGATAGCCTTGACGTGATTGGCTTTCAGTCTGACCTGTCTCACCTAAGGCTGGTGAAGCTCATCATGCGCCATCTAAACCGTGATGAGATGGACGAGCAGCTGGATGGGGGACTGTCCATGCTCCAAGCCTTGAAGGAGACGCTTGGGAAGATGGAAGTTTCCAGCCCCACCAAAAGTTCCCAGACGGGATCTGATGAGGCATCAACCTCTGAGGCCTCAGCACCCTCCCCATCGCCCGGTCCAGTTCCAGCTGCCATGACCTCCCCATCGCCCGGTCCAGTTCCAGCTGCCATGACACTGCGCCGGGAGTTTAAGATTGCCGGTCAGATCGGGGAACCTGGCCAAAAGGATAAGCTGTCCTTCCCCAGTTTGATTCACCAGATTCAAGTCAGCGTTGAAAAGAAATACCCGCAGAAAGAGATCATTGCAGCAGTTATCAGAAGTATTTTGCCAGGAGCCAAGCTTCGGAGCTACCGGGAAGGAAAGTCAGATCTGACCCTCCC